CCTATAAGTTTCTTACTAGATGAGCTAACGGGGTCAATCAATCGTCATTTTGTAGAGCGTTTTTTACTGCATCTTTTCTTCATAGAGACAAATTTACAACCACTTGTTTCACTATAGATCAATTTGATGTGAAAAAGGTTTTTCTTGTTATCGTACTACAAAAAAATTAGATTTTATTGAATTGAAAAACAATTCAATATTTTTTGCTCCGTAATAATAAAAAGTTTTTTGTACAGGGTACATAACTCATTAAGCTGCAGTTTTTTACTGTAGAACAATGTTAGAAAATGCTTCCTTCGAGAGATTTGTTCAGTAATACGAAAATTTGCTGTTCAAGACCCACTATTTGGATACATTTAAGCTTAAAAATTTATGAACGTGAAATAATTGAGTTTGAAAAGCTAAAACCTTCAGAATATGCGTTTTAGGACGCGCTCTATCTAGTTTAGCTAAAATCTGAGCTTGCTTTTCAATTTTCAATTTTTTTAGAATTTTTAACCAACTTTTTAATCTTTTCTAAATTTAACTTAAACATTTCATACCTCCTCTAGAATTTGTTATAAAAATTTTAAATGTTTAGAATATGTGTAACCTGATGTGTTCTAGAAAGTGACAAACTATACGCAAATTTTTTGGGAGAGGACCCAGCTTAAATGAAAAATTTCTACCGCTTTGATTAATTGATTTGAATTGTGTATATATATATAATTCAATTTTTTTTTCTCGAAAAAATCAAAAGAACTGGATATGTAAAACTTCTCTGAATATTCTCAGCCTTTGGTAAGTTAAGGTGGTGTAGATATATTAATATAGTAAATAAGGTAAGGCAAAATAAGGGAAGAGGAAGTTCTGAATTCTCATATCTACTATGGTCGGCTAGTATCAGAAAGGAATGTGAATTGTTCTTTCTCTTATAAATTTTCTTCTTTCATGAACCAGAAAAATGTCCTTCACTGAACTTTTAAATCGACCTAAAGTTTATGAAGCCTCGAGGAATTTTCTAATATTAGACACGGAGAAATGCACATAAATAAAAATCTTTTTCTTAAGAAGCTTTTTCAAGCATTATCAGTCTGAATCGTGGCAAAAGCAGAGAAATAATCTCAAGAGTACGATTTCCACTCGAATTATATGAAATCGTATGACACGAACGCGTCCGATTTTGTACGAATCATGCTGCACGATTTCGTACAAAACACCTGACCGTGGTATTATCAGATCCGTACCAAAATCGTACTATAAGATCCTATAGGATCCTACAGTACGTATCATATCACTCCTTACTTCTCGTACGATCTTAATACCATTCTTTGACCTGGATAGCGCTCTCTTTTTAAAATTCTGGTTACAAAACATTGAACGTGAAAAACCTTGGTTACAAATCTAACGAAGATATCGTTGTTATCCTCAGAAGATCTATATAGCGATAGTTTATACTTCTTTGTTGAATAGAAACACAAAGAAGGTGCGAAAGACGCTGGTTTTTTACAATATAAAAATCGAGATTGTGTAGCTGAAGACATTGAAGTATTCCTATTAACCCTTTAAAGCCCAAAGTCCATTTGAATGGACATTGCCATTATCATTATAACAAACTAAGGAAGCGTTGTTGGGAAAAGTTGATCTTATATCGGTTGTAGAGAATTAAATTGGCTATCGAATGGTTAAAAAAAATTTGTTTATGTTGTATGCTAGCTGAGATAGTCAAATTTTAAAATGAAGAAGATTTAGAAAAAATTCACTTTTCTAATTTACTTTTTTCAGGTGGTTAGAAAGGGCTATTTGTTCAATGACTTTTTAGAAATATGTAGGGAGATGTGCTCTTTCAAATTATGTCAGCTACAAAGCTATAAATTATTGTTGGAAACTGTAGGCTGCTGATGATACAAAACGGATGGGCATATTTTGTAACTGCATAATTATAAAAGCTTAACTTTTTTAAAATTCTTCATTAAAATTAAATGAAAAGTAACTTTTTTCAAGCTTGAGAAAGTCATAGCGAGGTGTCATATGGTCCATTTTCATAAACGGTTGACCCAACACCAAACGTTGAAGTCTTGGGGACTTAAAGGGTTAAATTAGACAAGATAGAGCGCATCTTTTACCATCAGATGATTCATTGGCTAGTGCTAATTCGTCTGACCGAGAAACTGCCTCCATTGATATATTATTGCTGACTATAAATTGAGAAAGTAACTGTGCGCTGCATTAAAAAGCTAAGAAAAACAGCAGATCATACATGAAGCAATACCAGTGTTTGATAAAGTTTTCCGCTTGTTGATTTCATTTTCTTTAAATATGCTTGTGTTTAAACTGTTTGTACTCTGAAGCATTTTCTCAGCTCCAGATGGATCTATCTTACATAAATTTTCCTCTATAAAAAAGAATGACATACAAGTTTGGCTCATGATGCTGTCTATATGAAGTACCTTCACTACTTGCTTCATCATACTCGATTTGATTTCCATTTGTTTTTAGCGGTAATGCCGATCCAATTACTTCTATTTCATTACAATCATCTGTAGACATATGGCTAGTATTGTCAGTAACGCTAATTCTATCAATTGTTATTGTAGACTTCGACTTTAATTGTAATGACAGATTCTTAGCTTTAACACAAGTTTATTAGATATAGAAAAAGATTTATTCTGTGAGATTAAAAATTTACCAGCATCTTCCTCCGTCTTTAACGTCTTGGTTGATACATTTATCATCGAAGTATCAATGCCTATGTAAAAAGATTTATTGAAACAATCAAAGACAGCGTAAAGGACGATAGTACTTTTTCGTTTTTTGAATGACTGTTGTTTGACTGGTCAGTTTGATAAATCTTGAATAATTAATTGATGTTAGTGGTTGAATAATATTGAATTTTTCAAAGACACGATTGAATCGTTGATCGATAAATTTTATCGGATATTCATTGAGAAGTAATGCCATTCGTAAATGATCACGTTCTTGTATAAAACTTTGAAAAGTTGAACAATACCTTGTTCTACGAAGGAACATAGTAAATGGTATGTTCTGTTTCATATGTAACGGATGAATACTATGAAATGGCAAATAATATGGTTCATATGATGGTTTGTGATAAACTGATGTAAAGAAAATATCATCTCTATTTTCCATATGTAAATCTAAGAAATCAGCATGTAAATTAATATTGGCTGATAACTACAAGTAACGCTCGCCTAGGGACTCGCTCGGCTCTTTCTCGTAGAAGGACTGTTCTCAGATGTTGGACTTTCAAGATGTTATTGTACAAAAAGCATTTAGGAAAGCTTATCAGACAAGTTTCTAACTGGGATGCACTGATTTCGATAAGCGTGTATAACGGCTTTCGTATTTATACAGTATTCGAAGGAAATACGTCGCTCTTTACTGTCAAGCTACTTGAATCCAGTTGATCATCGTACATGAGCTGTCAAAAAATCCCTTAAGTGTCATTCGAGATTCCAAGTTCGCACGCAATATCATCATCAGTGAGAAGCACATGTATGTTTGGTACAAAAGGTAACAGATCAAAAAAGAACCTCGATCTTGTTATCAGATACATGGTTACTACCTGTTGTACTGTCTTAGTGTAAATCCGCCGACTCAATACACAACGAGTCAATACATCTCTGCTGAATTACACTTCATGAAAAAGCAAGTATCCAAAAACCTTGAGAGTTGCATTATCCAAAACTCCATCTCCATAATTCATATGAATCGTCACCCTCGATCCTCCCCCCAATAGTCTGAAGAAATGTCACTCGGATTTTTGAGTTCCTTAGATCAGAATATCTCGAGAAATGTCCTTTTTTAAAAATTTGCCTTCGATGTTTTTTTGACCTCTCCCCTCAGCCTCCCTCCCCATAGTCCCCCAACAGACCTTAGTTTCAAAGTTTGTGCATCGAAACACCTTTCCTTGAGAATCTGCCGTCGATGTTCTTTTGACCCTGCGGACACACAAGCAAGCAAGCAAACAATTAATGTTTACTGGACTCTTCTCTACGAGAAAGAGAACATGCATAAGCACGTTGATTATCTATAGTAGTGTACTGCGTGATTGACCTTTTTGCTCACGATCACGATCACGATCACAATGGAAGCAGAGTGGTGAATTACGATCACGATCACGACTATCGCATCGCACGTTTGAACTGAGTAACATTAATTTATCGTACTATAGTGGTATCTTTGTGGTGTATACTACTGGCTACAGCTGAATCAAGTAGAAAATAATAGAACTACATTCTTCTCATTCACTTACTCTTTCAAGATGCTTCTGCAAAGATAAAAACTTTTCTTCAATAATTATATTTAGAATGTGTACCACAGGTACTGTTCATTGTATTAAAAAACATGTTGAGCAAATGATTAAGGGAAAAGATTCATCAATATCATTTGCAAAACTAAAAGAAACTGCGAAGATATTGAAGAATTGGTCGGCATTTAGTCAAGTGTATGGCGCTCATACTAAACAAGACCTAATCATTTGTGATCGCTGTAAAACTGTGTTGATATATAAACCATCAACTGAATCTGGTTGTATGTGTTCACACTCACGTTTTTCTCCCATGATTTGTCGATATCGACAAGAGTAAATGCACAAGATATTTTGTTTGATGATGAAAATGTCCGTGAATATTTCGATTTCATTCATAGTGATGATAATGATGATGATGAGGAAGACATTGACAGATGTGCTTTTTTCACGTTTTCTTTTCTAGTTTTGTTTTTTCTGTAAATAATATTTGATTACTAAGATGATTAGTTTTTTTTGTAATAGATAGTAAATGAACTATCAGTTTTTTCTTCATGTAAGTGTGCAACATTTAATTTATGAATAAATACATTGATACATGCATTGAAATGATAACGATTATCAAAAACTTCTCTTCGATCACGGTCACGATCACGAAGCAAAACTATTTCTCATTCACGGTCACGATCACAATCACGAGAAAGTTTTCTAATCACGCACGATCACGCTCACGCGTGACCGTGATCGTGAAATTACCGATCACACAGTACACTACTGATAGGGGAGATGAGTAACTGATCGCATTCAGTGTTGCCATCTCGCTAACCCTCCCGCATTATTATTATGTGTGAGATGGGAATGAAAACAGCGAGAAAAGGGAAGGAGAAAAAAAGGGAAAGACAAGGCAGAAAATACACAAGATCGAGAGAAAAAAAAGAAAAGGAAAGGAAAAGAGAAGAGAATGGCGAAGAATAGAAAAGAGAGAAAAGAAAAATACGAGATGAGAAACGAATAGAGCAAGGAAAAAGAAAAAGTCAGAAGAGAAACAAGACATAAAAGGAAAAAGAAAAGACAGAAAAGAAAAAGAAATAACAGAAAAAACGTATGAGTGGGACGAAACAGAGAGAAGAAAAGAAAAGAAAAGAAGAGAAAAAGGCAACTTGTTTGAATCATACTGATAAATGCGTTGTTATTATCACATGAAACACTGACGACGAAAACTGCTGCTTTCGAGACGTTTATTCACGTGGTAAGCAAAAGTTAGACTTGGTATTTTTGCCTTAACGATAGTTTTTCAGCCGACGTTTAATAAACTAACTATAACACTCGAAAGCTCGTGAAATTCTCTATCTATCAGTGTATGTTAGTTTTACATCACTGAAAAAAAATTGATGTCGAATAATAAACCCTTTCAGATACGCTTTTTTGATTTATTAATATCATAAACCATTTTATGTACCCTTTCAGTTGATAAATCCATGAACGGTATTTTATTCATTGCACTTAGATAAACCCTTGAGGATATATCAGCAGTAAAATACCCTTAAAAAAGGTTAAAAACTTCATAAACCCTTCGGAAATGGATTCATTAATGTACCCTTTAAAAGAAACCGTAGTCTAAAAAAACATTTTTCAAAGGATTTATGAAGTTAATAAACTTTTTAAGGATATATTACTGCCGATGTGCCCTAAAGAGAATATCAAAGGTGAACGGATGAAATACCGTTCATAGGTTTATCAATTGAAGGAGTATATAAAATGGTTTATGATACTAACAAGTCAAAAAAAAGCGTATTTGAACGGGTTTATTAACCTGATAAATCCTTTTCAAAGATTTATTATTCTACGTGAATTTTTTGAGTGGTATGACTGCTACTTTAGGAACGAAACTGGGCCTGGCAAAGAGACGCTTGTACCATCATATTTTCAATCGATCAATTTTCTTATCGTGCTTTTGATTAGTACTTCGAGTATATGTTGACCAGGATACAGTGCTTTAATAGGGAAGTAAATAGTGATTCTGAAAGCACAGAGAATTCTCTACAGAACAGAGTGATTCGCTGGCTAGTCAGCTCCTGATCTTGGAAAGATAACTCTGAAAGAATGAGCAGAAGTCACATTTACAGGTAGCAAATTGAGGTTGTGGGTATGGGTGTGTCTCTTCTTCACCCATCTAAACTCACACCCTCACCCTCAAGATGCTATGCATGTCCGGCTCATTTATAAATTTGATTAGATTATTATTTTAGATAGCTTGGTGCAACAGCAAGTCAGAAGCTATTGACGCATCAAATTCAAGCTGATAAGATATACATTAAATGGATACGAACAAAACCGCCCCAGTAATTCTGGAAACAAAGCAGCATTTCGAAATTCTTGACGGATTAAGGGGCATTGCCGCCATGGCCGTTGTGACGTTTCATTTTATGGAATGGGCTTATGTCGATCAGAGCAAGAACTTTATCGGACACGGTTTTTTGGCTGTCGATTTCTTCTTTTGCCTTTCGGGATTTGTGATCGGATATGCCTATGACGATCGTATAGCAAAAATGGGCGTTCTTGAGTTTTTTAAATCAAGGATCATTCGGCTGCACCCGCTGGTTGTAGCAGGATCAGTACTGGGCCTGCTGGCATTTTTGTTCGACCCATTTGGCGGCCATCCCGAATTGTACAGCACCGATAAAATCATCCTGATATTTTTTTGCTCGATACTGCTTATTCCCTTGCCTGTAATGGCCGACCGTGGTTTTAACCTGTTCAGCTTCAATGCACCGTCATGGTCGTTGTTTGGGGAATATATCGCCAATATCGTTTACGCATTTGTGCTTTATAAGATCAGCCGCGGCTACCTGCTGCTGTTAACCATACTCTCGGCGGTGGCTATTTGCTTGGTATGTTACCGTGCCGGCAATTTATTGGGCGGTTGGAGCGGCCCAACCTTTTGGGACGGGATCGCCCGGATATCGTATTCTTTTTTAGCAGGACTTCTTATTTACCGTTCCAACTGGATCATCAAAAACAAGTTGGGATTTATCGGCGTAGCCATATTATTGTTCCTGGCCTTTTTAATTCCATTCTCAAAATGGAATTGGTTATCTGAACCTTTAGTAGTACTGTTTTACTTTCCCTTGCTGATCGCTTTGGGCGCAGGGGCTACGTTAACAGCTAGCTTAGAAAAGGTTTGCATATTTTCGGGAAAGATCTCTTACCCATTGTACATGACGCATTATGCCGTGTTATGGATGTTCGGTAATTATTACACCAGTCATAAGCCGGGCACTATGCAACTGGCTCTCATCATCATAGCCGGGCTAATCCTATTAGTTGGGGCAGCGTACTTTGTAATGATAATTTACGATATTCCCGTGAGGAAATATTTAGGCAATAAGAGGGTTAGATAACGGTTGTCTAATCCTCTTATTGCTTAAATATTTCCTCCTTGTAAAAAAAGCAATGGTTAATCATAAATCTGGAATAAAACCAGTTAAAGAGAGTAAAAAGTTTGATCTTGTTTTCTACCAAATAGTACCCTAAAAGTGTCCGAGACTTTTTAGTAATTTTAATAGTTTTCTGCTACTTTTTAGGCAAAATATCTTAGGAGGACCATCCGAAATTCCAACGAGCAGAGATCGTGCGAGTGAGAGGAGCATGGTCAGGTGGGCTCCGCTCAATAATTTAGAATAATTTTTTTTCGCCAGCCAAATTAAAAAAAAGAGCTCGCGCAGTAACTAGTTTCCTGTTGCTCCTCCGTGTTTCGAGCGAGCTCTGCCAACGAGAACCTTTTGTCCAAGAACGTTAGTTTTCATGCTGCGTTATATGAAGTTAAAGGAAACTTTAACTTATGCTAAATTTTTTTCGAAGAAACATATACTGCTCGTTTGATATTTGCTGGCGTTTTGTTGTTATGGTTGGTTCGTTTCGTCCACCCTTTAATACATCCTTCAAACATCTTTGTGCGATTGCACTTAAATCTTCCATCATTTTTAATTCTAATTTTCGTTGTTGTTTCTTTTTATAATCATCTACTGTTTTTTTTGTTTGCGTTTTAGTTGCTAATGTTGA